GTCAGGTGCCGCCTTCGTGGAACCAGGCTGACTCCGCTGGCTGCAGGTACATCCCGCAAGACTCGACTGTCGGCAGGGTGTAGAATCGGCAGGAAGTAATGCGGAAAGTGCGGAGCTGGGATGAGCATGGTATGCAGACCTGGAGGTGCAAAGGAGCTGACGAAAATGGACGTCTCAGGTCGGGTAACGGCAATAGCAGTCACCACGCCCACGTGAAAAGGCAAGAAGCTCCGATGTGTCAGCAGCACTAGGTGGGCTAGGTCTGGGGACATGCAAAGTGATCAGGCCGTGGTGTGCACCATATACATGCGCTGTGCCGCTCTCACGAAAATGTGCGCCCATGGCATGTCTTCTGCCTCTGAGACGATCAGCAAGACTGCTAAAAAGGTTGCGCACTGAAGTGATGGGCAGACCACCTTCGCGGATCGTCACCGGCCAGGCGTATGCCGCAGCGGCGTGGCAGATCTCAAACAGACGGCCTTGTGGGATCATTTCTGGCACACTGTGACCGAAGAACGGTTGCAAGAAATCACCAGGTCTGAGCTGGCGTACGCAATGATCCTCCGGGGCCCCATTGATGGACAGACGCCAACGGTCGCGTCGCCAAATTTCTGAAAGAATCCCGTCACACGTGCCTCCGTTGTCAGCCATCATGAGCTGAAGGCCGCCTCCGATGGGGCGCGCATCCCAAATGAAAGGAACTCCTGCAATTGGCTCGGACACAACAAGCAGCACCTCAACCAAGTAACCAACTTGCGGTGGCAGGCATCCAGCCAAGACAACTCCTCCGCCGGCAGCCAATGGTTGTTCCGACGTGAGCTGAGCAAGTAGATGCGCAACAGTTTCATCAAAAAGCCCGAAAGGGGGGCTAAGGTCAGCGGACGCAGATCTCGTGCCACGAAACAGTATGAGGCGCAATGCTGGCGTTGCAGGCCTTTCTGTGTGCACTTGCATCCAGGTGGTGGTGGCTGTCGTTCCCTCCTGCATGTTAGCTCCGCCGAGAAAGCGCGGGCCATCATGTGTGCTAAAACGAAGTCCACTGCCAAAAAGGATGGTGCGGAAGTGCTGTGCAGCAGCCAGGTCTCTAGGAATGATGTTAGTAACAGGTCCTAGGGAGTCATGCACAACGAACTGTCCCGCTTGGTGTCGAGCTTGCAAGTTGGACGCTCTACCTGCAGCTGCGTCCACGGCCAGTAGCGCATCAGAAAGTGTCTGACCTGCGGTATGTTCAACAGTCAAAATGTCCATTCCAAGGTCTCTGAGATCCCAAGGGATCGGAGCGGTATTGAAACCCCTGCCGACCTCATGCAACACAAGCTGTGGTTTGGGGTAGGGAATGATTGTGTCGGTCAGGACCTGTACAGCTGCAACTGGGAATGGAGCTGATTGTATGGCCTGCGCCACAAGAGTTTGAAGATCCGCTCTGGCTCCACATTCCCCGATGGAGACATGACGACGGGTGTCAAAAACAGTGTAATGTCCAATGGTATCAGGGCTAGCTCTAGCCCACTGAAATTCCCCAACCGGAGATGTGAAGAGGTTCTCCTCAGAGAAAACGCTGGGGTAAAGTGGCATTTCTCTGGCTCGCATGATATGTCGTTCGTCCGGCTCGGGAGTGAACAACATATTGGCAGGAGGGAATGGCGAAGTGGGCCAGTGAAATGCAGGATGCACTTCACTGACAGCTTCATCAAGTACTTCTATAGGTTCTGGAGGATCCCCCATCTCCCTCACATTGATCCATTCGTATTGCACGAGGGGAGCCAACACGTGATCAACAATGCGAGCCCTAGAATCCCAGCACTGATACGTGCCCTGCAGGTGTATGCTGGCCAAGCTGCCGAGGTTTGCCCAAGACTTCCTGAGCACGAGTGCCAGGATCTCGTGTATGGCCATGCCATGCTGAACTGTGATTGTCACAATTGATCCACCGATGTCTCTGAGATCGATGGGCAATGCAAGACGGTGTCTGCCTTCACGGGCCGGTGTCATGATAATGTTGGGCTTGAAGGTACGTGGGAGCGGCCGTCTGGGGAGTTGTATGCAGCGCACTACATAAGCGACTGCATGTACAGCATCTTGCACAAGCTCCTCTACTGACCACTGACTGTGAGCTTGTTTCGTGCGCCTGTTTTGTTCCGGCTCAAAGATGTCATGTGGAATGCGGCCTCCTTCTCTGGGAGAGCTGACAGGCACAACCTGAGTAAGTGCCGGCAACCTGATGTCCCTTCGTACCTCCAGTTCAGCTGGGACCAGATGGACCTGCTGTGCCAACATCTGTGTAAGGAGGGAAGGTGAGGCCTTGGCAGTGGCTCTGCGGGTGGGTGTCGAGGGCGGGTGCTGTGTAAGCCTGGCGTGTAAGATAGCACGCTCAACCCAAGTAAAAGGCGAGCTTGGCGGGGCCGACTGCCCAAAATCAAGGCAAAGGTCGGGCGAGGAAGAAGAATTCCAGGCGACCTGTGCGATATTCCCCGCCGAACTGGCAGGACAGAGACGGCCACAATCAGTGAGGTATTGCCGCAACAGCCGATTACACTGAGAGGTTTCTTGATCCCCTTCAAAGCAAACCTTCAATCGGATCCGGCCCTTGCTTGCGACTGTGGTAGCCGCATACGCCCTACTGGAAAAGGAGTCAAATGGCACTCCGCATTGTCTGGAACCGCACCAACCGCGTGCATGCCCTTCAGACCCCATTGCATCACTATCCACCGATGGTCGACCCATGCACACATCGGGACAGCGGAAAATGGAATCAGAAGCAGCATGATCCGGGTAGTTCAGCTCAGACTCCGCGAAGTGTTGTTTGACAGGAAAATCAAGTGCCCACCTCTTCTGTACACAAGGAACCCGAGGTCTCGAAGTGTAGGCCTTGGCAATCAGAACAGCTCGATCATAGTCCGAGGAGACAGGAGTTTCGCATACCCCAATGCGAGGGTCCTGCCAAATGGAGTGCGGGAAGTCGCCGATGGCCTCAACTACCCTTTGTTCAAAGTCTTGCATGCAGCCCAGTAGACTGGCAGCATGTTGTCCTACAAATGTAGCATCCTTTTCGATCTCGTACAGCTCGACGTCGGCAAGCTGCAGGTCGTAGGACGGCCCGCACATAGTCGTGAGACCTATGAACGGGCCTGGCCAGGGACTGGTTGCTGAGGCAATCCCAGCTGAAACGGCCCTTTGCCACCTTCTCCAGAAGCATCCGGCGCCTTGTCCTTGCCGGTCTCTGTTTCTGGGTTTCCCGGACGGCGCGGTGTTCTCGAACCGTCGCGCCCGGCTTTCTGTAGCTGTTCTTCCGTGTTCGTCTTCATCTCGTTGAGGGCATCCACCATGCGCCGAACGGACTTTTGGCTTTCTGCGGTGGCTTCTCGCAGTCTGGACTCGGTCTCCACCGCCGTGTTGACGGCTTCCTCCGCGTCCTCCATGTCCCTGTCGGCTGTCTCCGCATGGGTATTGGTTTCTGAAGTCATGCGGGACAAGGCTTGCGTTGCCGCTTGTTCCGCTTGTGCCCATAGCACTTCGGATCGATCGAATTCTTCCAGAATCCGCGATTGCTCGCCCAGCTGTTTGCTCGAGAAGGCTTGCCAGCTGGGAGAGGTAGGTGTGCCATGACTGGAGGTAAGATGCCCTTTGTGCCTGCACTTTTTGCAGTGCCTGACGTGAACGACTCTGTTCTGCTACGGCTCTGTGCATTGCACGTGCCGTAGACTGCGAGTTGTTCTCCTGCAATGTAGCTATAAGCTGCTGAGCAGGAGCTGGGAGTGAGGAAGTCGAAGAGCCCAAAGCTGTCAAAAGGGCTTCCAACTGTGCCTTCTCCTGACTTTGGACAGCCTCTGGAGCGCCCTTCTTCGGAGTTGCCACTGTCGGCTGCGATGGCACTGCCGGCAGTGTGTCGAGCGAGGGTGGCATTGGCGGATTGCCCTTGCTCCCCTTGCCCTTGGCTGCATCGTTCTCCTGCGGCCCTTGCTTGGATTTGCCACGTCCCTTTCCAGCATCGCCTCTCTTCCGGGGCGATCGCGGTCGCCGAGGTGAACGTGGTTCGTCCTGCCACCAGGCCGTCTGCCATGGATGCTGCTGTGACCGATCGGTCATAGGCGCTGAGGAATAGCTCTGGGAGGTAGCCGACCAATGGCTGCCACAACTTTGACAGTACTCCGCTTTTGCCTTGCAGAGCATGCCACATTTGCATTTCCAGCTGTTCGAAGACATTGTCGCCAGTTTGCGGATTGCCCTCCTGGGCAAATCCGAATTGGAGTGGTGTCCCCTCAACGTAGCTGCTGCTGTCCGTACCACTTCCTCTGAAAATGGAACTCCAGCTAGAAAACTGCGCAAGATAGTTCGATGTCTTGTGCGTCTGCGACGAAGGGCTCTGTGACTCTGTGCCAAGCAGGCTCTGAAATCCTTCGTCTGATTGTCGGCGTAGTTGCTGTAGGCCAATGAAAAAAGGCTCAAAACTGTGATGAACGCAAATTGCATTCACCAAGCCTCCTCAGAGCCAGGGCGAAACCAGATCAGCTCAATGAGGAAGGTGAAGTCGTTGAATCCAGCCACCTAAGTGGGGATAGCCGAAGGTGCCTCCTCCAAGGTACAGCACAATCGGAAGTCGCGGGTCGTCCGTGACCACGCTGGGTAAGGTCTGCAGAGGCACGGACCACTAGGGAAACTACGTGCAACTGCAGCCAAACGCCTGGGTTTGGGGTTTAGGGTTTAGGGTTAAGGGTTTGGGGTCTAGGGTTTAAGATTTGGGGTTTTGGGGTTTGAGGTTTGGTGTTTTGGGGTTTACGGTTTGGGGTTTAGGTTTTTTTTTTTTTTGAGCACCTTTTTCCGTCTGCCTAAGAAGTTTTAGGAGTCAGGAATTCGCTCTGCGAAAGGCTATGGGGGGTTTAGGGTTTAGGGTTTAGGGTTTGGGGTTTAGGGTTCAGGGTTTGGCGTTTAGATTTAAGGTTTGGTGTTCTGCTCGGTTTTCATCACAATTTATCTTTCCAGGCCCTCTGCTGCCAGGCCGCCAGTTCACTTCGAAGTCAGCAACGAACTCGTGCCTGCTCAGGAAAGTCCCTGATCGCTAAGCCCTACGTGCGTGCAGAAGCTCTAGATGTGCATGAGTATGTCACATGTAGTATATGGATGTAGAGATTTGCATATCAACATATCCACACACCAACATGTTTGCACATTGACGCACAAACCGGGTGTGCGCGCGAATGTGTGTGTGCGTGTATGTTCATAAACATCTCATCTCTGTACACTGATTATTAAAGTACATACATACGAAGACTCCTGAAGCGGCCAGGCTGCAACCGTTCGAGCGACAGCTTTAACTGCTTGGATTGCCTGGGGGGGCACCATGCATCACAGGTTGCGGGCATCCTGGTTTGGGAAAGCCAACTACACCCTCTCAGAGAACTAGATAATAGTAACAATATTAACACTAACAATAATAATAGTAATAATAGCAAAAAATCGTAATAACAATAATAATTAAAAAAACTAGACCACGCAACATCCTGATCTCCTCACTTTGTAACCAGGGCCTGGATCAGGGATTACCCTTCGGGGGTTGGGTCTACTCTCCTGCCCCCTACCACTGCAAGGAAGCCTGCGGTTCTCCCTCAGATGCTGACAATAGCTCAGACGGTTTAGGGTTTAGGGTTTAGGGTTTGAGACTTGTATGATTGAACCAATTGGCTGGACTGCAACTTGCTGGGCTGCAGAGGTTCGCACCCTACAGATCCTAATGGCGCCAAGACTGTGGAAAAAACGAAAGGGTGCTGGTTGTTGAGGAGCTCTGCCACCTCAGACGCAGCTACTTTATTGTATTGCAGGGGCATTTATTTTGCATAGGGTTTGGGAGTATATTGTACTATAGTTACAAGAGGGAACCCCCCAAAACCCTCTTCGGGCCCCTACATTATGGGGTTCGGGGGACTGAGTACTCCTACAGGGCCAACAGGCACCGCAACAGCATTTGGAGGACACCGACAGAGTATCGTAGGGGCCTTAAAGCTTGAAATGGGGTTTGGGGATACTGCATAAACATGTTAGGAAATATCAGGATACACCAAGTATGCCCACAGCCGAGCAGCAGAGAACGCTTCAGAAGGCAGACGCAGCAGATGGCCACCAGGCCATAAATCATACTGGAGACGACCTGATATTACATCATACTATATTATGTTGTGTTATGTTATGCTTTAATACAACAAATGATATAAGTTGGGCAAGCGCCAAGGCTTCGAACGCAGAGCCTCTCAATGGGGGATCTATCTTGCACTTCAGCTGTAGAAACCTCGAAAGTTCTCCAAGGCCGAGTGGCGGAGAAGCTTAAACTTCGGCTGCTGGACTGATATCCGAAAGCCAGGAAGGCGATCGTGGAAGCTACTTGACCTGAAGGCTTAGGGTTTGGGGTTTAGGGAAATGTCGATACGATGCAAGGTGATGTAGCGTTCAGGAAAGTAGGGTTTAGGGCTCAGGATCTTTCGCTCAAGCTATCCTGGTCTGTGTCGAAGCCGAGGACTTGGAGATCACGCTATGTCAAGAGAGTTCAGCCGGCGATGCTCATTCCATATGGTTTGGGTGTTTCCGGTTTAGAAGATACCGTCAACAGCTTCCGTTAGAGTTAGAGCTCTTTTGGAAAAGTCTTTCCCAGTCAAAATACACAGTGCCAGAGGATGCACAATTGGCAACACTACCTAGATACAAAGGCTTGTGAGCACAGCCTTACTGTAAAATTGCAGGTCAGACGGCGAAACCCTACCTGTCTGTCCTTCATCCAACTCCTTTTCAGCTCCTTCCCACTCATGGGGTTTTGGGGCTTAGGGTTTAGGCCGCGCCCAGCCAAACACTCAAATACCTACGATGGGGGGCCTTAATAATCGGAATAGGGTTTCGGGGCCCATTATGGTACAACTATAGTAAGGACCCCCCCAAATAGGATAGGTAACTATGAAGGCCCCTACAGTAGTAGGTTCCTCAACTGTCCAAGTTCCCCAAAGCCAACTCTAACCCGGTCTTGGAGGCGGATTCCCCCTTAGAATCAGAAATTCTGGGTTGTTAAAGGGATGGAATCTTTAAGTTACCATAATAGGGACCTATAGTAATTAAATGGGCTATTGTGATAACCTAAATTAAGACCCTGAACTTATCCTAGAGTAGGCCAACCTCCTTTCTCCCATCTCTTCGTGCATGGCAGGGTGCAGAACGTCAAGAACGCAATCAAGTAGTACACCACCTGCCAAGGGAAGGTTTTGTATTACATACTCTCCGACTGTTACAGGAGCAAGATAGTGTTGCGTATCATATTCATACTATTCATTATTCTGGGGTGTAGGACTTGAGGTAATTATGAGCCCCCACTACAGTTGAAGAACTGCTTGCTTGCATTTCCTCTTCCTTCCTGCCACCTCTACCACCTCTGGCTTCCGGGCACATGCGAGACCCGGAAGGCTTGCTGAAAGCAGTAAGCGCCTTCGGCAGCTTCAAGATTGTCTTCGTGGCGTAGGGCCTCGGAAAGAAGTCAATTACAAGGCTTCCGCCCAGGCCCAGCCCTTGAGCTAAGACCTTTCCCTCTCGTTTGCACCTCCCCGTCCTTCGTGCCTCCCCTGTACTTGCACCTCCTTGGTTGCAGATTCTCCGGTCCGAGCGGCTGCAAGTCCCTCTCCTCCACCACGGAGTCAGCACGATTCGGCTGACCTTGGCATGCGCACGTCAAAGATCGCAACATGACAGCCGCGTGCCTCTCAAGAGAAAATACAGGCCATCCACGTGATGCAAGAGCCAATACTAGTTCACGTAGGACGTACGCGCAAGCACACAGACATGTAGGCATATTTCGAGGCATGCATATACATGTACAGCTACTACCCTGGCAAATCCACACGGGTTAAAGAGCAAGCAAAAAGGTGCAAGCTCCATGTTTCTAGCCTTCAGATAAGCTGGTCGCTGGCGGGTTACCAAACTCAGGCACGACTTCCGAAGGATATGCTGGCGTTGGTGTATTTGGGGTTTTGGCTGTGCATCATCATAAGCCCTATCTGCGACACCCTCAGCCAAGTTCAAGTTCAGACTGCAGCCAATCCACAGTCTACGGCCACCAGAATGCAAGCCTGTGAATCGCGAAGCATGTCCTGCGGAATCAGACGGCAGAGCGATGCTTCGGAAGTAGGGTTCGGGATCCGCGCTGTTTCGAGTCGAGCACATGATTCACTGGCGGCAGTGGCAGTAGGAATAGTAGGAGTAGGAGTAGGAGTAGGAGTAGGGGTAGGGGTAGGGGTAGGAGTAGGAGTAGGAGTAGGAGTCGGAGTAGGAGTAGGCGTTGTTGTTGTAGTTGCAGGAGTAATAGCAGTAGTGGTAGTAGTGGCAATAGTAGCAGTTGTAACACAAGAGCTCAGAGCTCATCACTACTTTTCCCAGCTTCACTGCCCACAGCTCAGGATCACGGGCTGTCTTCCCCGCCGAATGCCACAGCTTCTTAACCCGTCTCTCGTTACAAGCCCAACCAGCATCTCTACTGCGTGCGGTACGGCCTTAGGATGAGAGAGCCTGGACCACTGCTCCACATTCATTCATGGAAACTCATTAAAGAGATACGGGTACCGTCTCACATCGCCGTTCAGCGGTCCGCCCTGCTCGAATGCGGCAGATTGCTTCACGAGACACCAAGAATCCTAAAAGCCCTCCAACCTCACGCTCTACCAAGAAAGGAAAGAGCCTCGAGCAACCTTGACAACTACGTCTCCAGGCCCCAGGATCAAAACCGGGTCCTGCATGCCAGGCCCCTTGTCGGTGAACTGGGTCAGTTTCTTGCCCACTCCCCGCTTGCACTCCTTCCATTAAGATGTCTTAGTGGTTTGGGGGCTTGGGGTGTAGACCTTGGCGCTCCTAGCTCACGGTTGTAAATCCGAAACCCCGTGTTCGACGTTTACCTCTTTCAGCTCAGTTGCCACACCTCAGTTTCCGGGACGGAGGCCTTCAGTGAGCTGTGGCGGGCGGGGATGCTAAAAGCTTCAGAAATTATGATGATGAAGACGATGACGCTAGTGATGATGAAGATGGCGACAACAAGGGATGCTATACAAGGTTCTATCAATCCTTCTGGGAGATACGAAGTCACTATACAGAGCAAAGGCATCATAACCTATAGGATACTATGTACTATACAAGGTACTGTAAAAGGTACTCTACAAGGCAAAGGCATGTACAGGATACTATCAATCATTATGAAAGGTACTCTACAAGGCAAAACCATCACAACCTATACTCCAACAGCTCAAGTTTACTCTAACAGTTCAAGCTTCTGAAAGGTATTATACGAGGCAAAACGTATAATGTAGGAACCTGATTCAGAAACCTTGGGCCTTTATTAGGGTTCCTTAATATGAATCCTACTATTTGGGGGGTCTAGGCCCAGGGTTTCTTAATCAGGTTCCTACATTATGCGATGTGGCTAAGCCCGAAACCCCGGTCATGTCCCTCCTGATAGTACCCCTATAGATCCCTTGAAGGAACCTCATTGCGGCCCCTTAGCCCTAAACTTTCCTAAACCCTGGCTCCCTGGCTCTAGCGGTTCACGCTGAGGCCCAGAGCTCCTCGGCCTCGGGCGTGGGAGCCTGGTCCGAGTCCTCCTCTGCCAGCTCATCTACCTCCCAAGGAAGGTCTCTTAGAGTTTTTTTTAACAAAGGGCCCTTTTTCAGTCTGCTCTGAGAGTTTAGGGTTCAGGGTTTTTGGGTTTTGGGTTCAGGGCAAGGGTTCAGGGTTTAAGGGTTTAGGGTTGAGGGTTCAGAGTTTAGGGTTTAGGATCCGCCGTGGGATAGCGCGTAGGTGATAATATCTTGGGGACAGGGTTTTGTCGAGTGCATCGTGCTGCGGCGACGAGCTGCGACAGTCTACAGAAGGCTTTTTCCTTCTTTCTCCCACCCCACGTACAGGACGGCCAAGCCACCCAAACCTAACCCTTTGAGGGTTTAGGCCAAAACTCATGCCATCGTGCTTCTTTTCCTTGCTACAGCAAGGCGCAGTAAGGGGGCAGGGAACGGCCAGGCAGCCACCACCACGCGAGCTTGGGGTTTAGGGTATTGACTTTATAAAGGTACCAGTACTGGTCCCGGGAGAACGTACCGGGTACGACGTGGGTGCTGGCTGTGGAGGGGCGGGGTGGGTATTCTGGTCGATAGGTGTGCTGGTCGACCTTTCCCGATCGACTGCGAAGGGCTTAAGCGCCGCCCGCCCACAGTAGGTGGGCGGCCTATGCCTTGAGTTTAAGGGTTTGGGTTTGGGGTTCAGGGTTTAGGGCTTATGGGTTTTATTTTTAAGGGGTTAGGGTTTGGAAGCTCAGCTACCTCCAAGGAAGGCTTCTTGCGGTGTAGGGTTCAGCAGCTCATCCATCTCCAAGGGAGATTGTTAAAAGCCTTCAAGGCCCAAAAAAGAGATTTTAGAGTTGCTGCAAGGGTACTCTCAAGGGTTCTATCAGGTTTACTACCAAGGTTTCTGAGCTTTTGGGGTTTAGGGATTTTGGGGGGACCTTGGAGGGATTTACGACTAAGCGTTTCGGGTCGGGGCATAGGAGTTCATCCATGAAGGTTTGGAAGTTTTTGTTCAGGGCAACAAGTGTTTCGGAAACCCCACAAAACCCAATTAGGACCCACCCATCAAAACCTGAAACAAACCTTTAAGCCGCCCACCGGTGCCCTATGAAACCCGCTACAGACTCTAAACACCCCTTCAAACACCCGACGCAGAAAAAAAAAAAAAAAACACCCGAAAGAACACTGACCCCTGGCGAAGGCCTCGAGGCGTACAGCAGGGTTTCCAGGAGATGCCTCAATCTCTCCTCGGGTTCTTGTTTAAGGCTTTACAGTAAACCCCATAAAGTTGGAAACCGGATTAAGGCCAAATAGTGCTGGGATTCCCTATACATTACTCTTAGGGATCGAGGCTATGGGGTTTCCAACTTTTGGGCTTCTACTTTAAGGATATAGCTTGGGTTTAGGAGTTTGGCCTATGTGGCTCGAAGTTTAGCATGCAGTCAAACCCAAAGTCTTGCTACAACCCACACAATGCGAAGCCCATTTGTCAAAATCTGAATGCCCCTTCAAGATCTTCAATCCAATACGCTCTGGCCTAAAAACCTTCGCTGTAAACCCCCAACGCCCTCCCTCAACCTGACTCAACTCACCTTCAACTCCCGAACCCCACAAACCTAAACCCCCTAAACTCGAAAATCAGAAAAACTCTGCAAACCTAAACCCCACAACCCGGAAGCCCTAGACCTCATCCCTGGAGCCCCGAAGGCCTTATAAAGCTCCCTGGCGCTTGGGAACGGGGAAATGGACCGCGGATCCCTATGAGAGCCCTATGCCATATGCCTCTCTTGTAGTCCCTCTAAACCCATGACCCTATTGCCTTCTAAAAACCGGTGAGAGTCGGCAAGGAAATGCGAAAAAGATCCATGTCTCAAAAAGGTCTCCAAACCCCAAACCCGAAACCCTAAACCCTAAACCCCAAACCCCAAACCCTAAACCCTGAACCCCAAACCCTAAACCCCAAACCCTAAACCCTAAACCGAAACTACGGGAGGAAATGCGCCCAGATCCAAGTCTCCTGTAGTTCCCGGAAGCAGAGCCGGTCCCAGCTTCGGCGGCTCGACCTGCCGTCGGAAGGCCCTTGCAGCTTAGGTATCTCTGCGTGTTCTTTTTTTTTGCTACATAGGCATTGACATATGGATATATGTATATATATATATATATACATATATGTATCATATGTATATACATATATATATATATACAATATGTGTATATATATATATGTAGATATACGCATATGCAGACATGTAGAAACAATTATGGGCACAGACTGACACAGATATGGTTGCACAGGTATATAGGTATTTAAGCAGACAGATATAGGTATAGATACACGTTATAGAGATATAGCTATGGATACAGATGTACAGACAGATTTAAGCATAGACATAGATACGATATAGATGTACGTACACAAAGTGCCGGAGAGCTTTTCTGATTGAGGCCGTTCGCTTGTTGCGAGTTAGGGTTCGGAGCCCAAAACCCCAAATGCACTTTGGATCTTAACGCAAAGGAGCATGAGCAGCCGTCTTTCTTGCATCAAAAGCAGAAAATGCAGATGCGCCCAGGTGGATTTTACTTTCTTGGCTTGAAGGATCCGATGACGGAAATAACTAGAATTCAACTACTCTTGACCGAATTGATTAGACAACTAACCCTGCGCACACCCTCCATGATCCTATAAGCGCGGCTTGCTGGCGCCTCAAGCCGAAGGGGACCACACAAGCCGTCAGAGTACAACCAAGCTACCCTACCACATATCTTTTTACGGAGGGCTGCTAATATAGGGGCCTTCATAATTAGAATAAGGTTTTGGGGCCCGTTATACTATAATCATAATAAGGCCCTCCCCAAAAGAGTATAGATAATTATTCAGGCCCCTGTTGTAATCATAGCGCCATAGCGCTCCCCTCCGGAAGCCACTTGCGGCGCCTTGACCGGACGAGGCACCAGCGATGACATCGAACCCGATCCCAGGGACGCGATGTCACCGCTGCGGGACTGCGGAGCGAGATTGAGAGCGTTGGGCTCAAGGCTTAAGGTTCGGGCTTCAGTAGGGCCCCAAGAATTCTATAGTATACTATACTATTCTGTACTATACTGTCCTGATCATAGGCTTAAGGTTCCGGTATTTTTGTTGAGCTCCTTTTCTCCGGTGCCCAAGGGTCCTGAGAGGCTATAAGGTTCAGGCTTTAAGGTTCAGAGGTTTAGGGCTTCTGTACTGGAGTTTGAGTGGCTAGGTTCTTGGAGCTTGAAGCTGTTAGGTACACCTCATTATGTGCACGCGGCATGGTCTTGGAGAGGTGAGAATGTAGTGCAGATGGTGACCAAACAGATCAACGCCTTGAGGGCTTTGCACAATAAACCCCAGGAATTGACACAATAACACCACTACTCAGGAATTGACACAATAACACCACTACAATTACTTCGGCCTCTACAGTCGTATGTTTGTGACTGTACCAGGAAAGCCTCGGCTTCTTGCTGAAAGATCTCTGCTGTCCTGGCGCCTCAGTACTAGTTGAACTGAGTTCTTGAGGTCTCGACTGGTTTCTGCTTGATATGCTCCCGAAACTCCATCACCCTTCTTAAGGTGTGAGGGGTTCTTTCGAGACCTTCTCGAACCCTTTTTTGGTGCTTGAAAATGCACCGTGCGACTTGCGAGTCGGGCTATAAGTGACAAAACTATACTTAGAAGCAGCAGCGGCAACAGAAGTTGTGTGGTAGCACTAGTAGTAGTAGTAGTAGTAGCAGCAGCAGCAGCAGCAGTAGTAGTAGTAGAAATAGTAGCAGTAGTAGTCGTCGTCGTCGTAGTAGTAGCAGCAGCAGTGGTGATAGTAGTAGTAGTAGTAGTAGCAGCAGCAGCAGTAGTAGTAGTGGAAGCAGCAGCAGCAGTAGCAGCAGTAGCAGCAGTAGCAGCAGTAGCAGCAGTAGCAGCAGTAGCAGCAGTAGCACTGGTAGCACTAGTAGCAGTTGTGGCAGTGGCGGGAGTAGTGGTAGTGGCGGTGGAGGTGGTGGTGGTGGTGGTGGTAGTAGTAGCAGCAGCAGCAGTACTGGCAGCAGCAATACAGTAGCAGTTGGGGACAGCGACACTCTACTATAGTCCTGCTACAAAGCGCAGACGCTACCTGAAAGAACAACACGACAAAGCATTCAATGAACAAGAGCAACAGAAGGCGTGATAACACCCAGAACCAAAACCGGAAGAAGAACGGCAACAAGAAGACCACTCAAACCAAGAATATTCAGCGATCGGTGGATGGTCCGGATGATCATCACCGGTCGGGAAGGCCTGAATGCGATTTGGCGCCACCGGTTCCAGCTTTCTCTTGTCGCTGGGGACGCCCCGAATTGTCGTGTCACTTGGGACCGCCCTCATAGTCATGTCGCTTGGGGCGGCCCTCATGACACCAAGATCCTTCCAGGGCTCTGAACAAGTTGTGAGGCTGCAGCAAAGCGGGATTCAGTACGATAGGTAACTCTATGATACACCACTCATGCGGGAAAAGACAGGTGGACAAACTAGAAAATAAGCGAACAAGGTATGAATCTATGTGTACTGCATGTGTGCGTATGTATGTATATACATATATATATATATATATATATATATATATACATATACATATATATATATATATATATATACATATATATATATATATATACATATACATATGTAAATATATATATATATATATATATGTGGGTGGTTGTAGTCCCTTATTGGGTACCCTAAATATTAGGTGCCATATCGCACTAAGGCAGGACCCAAAGGGGACCCTAATATTGACAACCACCCATGTATACATGTGTGTATACATATATATATATATATATACAATATACATACACATACATACATACATACATACATACATACATACATACATACATACATATATGTATATATACATATACATATATATGTAACCTATTTATCTCTCTATATCTGTATGTATGCATTCAAAGGGAACTTCATAGCAGGAAAGCATGACCGTTTCCGGCATAAGGCCCACGCAGTGACCCTATCATAGGGACCCTACTCATATTGGAAAAGACTCGCAATTTCCAGAAAAACACGCATCCCTCAAAACCACCCCCCCTGCAACAGCGATTACCTAAAGCAGACACCTGGAAAATGGAGGCGACAGCCTTGAAATGACCCAAATATATATATATATATATATATATATATACACACACACATTTCCTAAAAGCTAGTGTAACAAATAAGAAAAACAAGTTTAGAAAATTGAATAAAAACTCGAGGAGACGCCAAAAAAAAACACCTTAGAAATCAAAAAAGAAGCTCTTTCCTGCAGCATCGCCGACTCCAGCTCGGCCAAACTGGGTGCGGCCTTCTTCGGGATTTTGCAGCGCCTGAGGTTTTGGCGGGCGGTGGTCAGTTCGTAAGAACAACACCGAAGCTCATATGGGCCAGGGATTTTTGGTTACTATAAAGGTCACCACATAGAGGGTACTACCAGGGTACTACAACGGCTACTATAAGGGCCCTATGATGCGGGGGTGCTGAAGCGCTTCCATGAAGGAGACTATGAGGGTTACCAATCGTATAGCCCTCTCCTACAACCCTTTTAGCACTCGCGGAGCTTTGTAGAGCCTCTAAAGAACCCTGTAGAGGGCTTGTAGTGACCTTTATGCTACCCAAATAGTACCCCCTTGATAGTACACTCTATATGGTAACCTTTATAGTAACCCCTAATCCCTAAACCCTAAACCCTAAACCGTATGGTAACCTTTATAGTAACCTAAACCCCTATAGATCTCTGTAAAGGAACCCCTGAGCCCTTTATAGAACCCTTATAGATCCCTTTAAAGGAACCCCTAAACCCTAAACCCCTAAAAGACATAGAATCGAAGCTTCGGCCCGGCGGCGCGCAGTCGGATCCCCCGAGCCAAAGAGAGGACTGCGACTCTGTACGATCGGTGGTCCTGGGAAAACTTATTCATATAATAATAAAATCAAGGAAAATTAATAATACTATATGAAACTTAATAATATACTAATAATAAGATTATAAATATATTATAATGGGCCCCAAAACCATATTCTAAATATTGAGACCCGTTTATTTACCTGGAGGATCTTTGAGGGTGCGGGGCCAGGGCGAGTAGGGCTTCGGGCTTTGTTTTGTTTTTGAATCCTTTTTTTCGAACGCAGAGAACTCCCTCGACGAAATGCCAGATTGGCCAGGGTTTCGGGTTTAGGGTTTAGGGCTTAGGGTTTAGGGTTTAGAGTTTGGGGCTTTGAGGGTCCAGGGCCGCCGGGGCTTTGGATGTTGGGGCTTTTGGGGTTCAGGATTTAGTATTTTAGGATGGTTGGGGGGTTGAGGGCCAGGCTTTTAGGGGTCGGGGACTGCGAAGCCACTTCAGGGAGGGTCCGTGGTTCGCGATTGAGCCAGCTCTGCGAGGAATCTTGGATGAGGCTTTAGAGTTTTTAAGGCTTGGGATCTTTAGGGTTCGAGATTTGGGGATTGCAAGGTTTTGAGTTTAGCCATTGAGGCGGCATTTATTGTTAACAGGGTATCTCGTTTTTCGGCAATGGCGGATGCTGTCAACTGTTGGCGCACGTTCTTGGAGTGCAATACACTACGACCTGATAGCAAATTATATGTCCAAACACAACATACAAGTCTCAAGTAGTACGGTGTGGTACAACATGGTCAAAAGGTGTGCACATTCAATGCCAAAGAGAGTACAGTTTCCCACGGATATCACAAAAGAATCTGCATAACGCAGTGCTGTGGGAGAAACAAACATCTGGACGCAGTCCAAGACGACAGCTTTTTTACAGTGTCGTACTAGGTCCTAGGTGAGCAGCTTCAAAGAAGAGCAAGTGGAGCTAAGGCGTATGTCGCAATGTTATGTACATTGTACATATGCATTTATACAGCTACTCTTGTAGATTTTTGCACCGAAATCCCCAAACGCCAAAACCCCTAACATAGGGGCCTTAATAATTAGAATAGGGTTTTGGGGCCCATTATACTATGGTTATAATAAGGAACCCCCAAAATAGTAGAGGTAACTATTTAGGCGCCTATAGTACTGTCCTCCTTCTCTGTGGTCTCTGAGTTGGAGAGGAGGGCTGCTTGACTGCGACCATCTGCTCCATCAACTTCTTCTGCTGGTCCGACAACTCTTTGAACCTCAATATAGGGTTTAGTGTTTAGGGTTTAGGGTTGCTACTGTTGCTACTATGATGAAGGATTTCGATTAACTTTCTTATTCTTCGTATTATGTCTATTCCTGTTGCTTTTTCCTGCGAAAATACTATTGTCATCTTCATTCATCCGGGCATTCTGCTCGTACCGAAGATTCGAAAACTTTTTAGTTTGCCGCAAGCACGACAAAAAACAAACTTTCACTTCAGGGTGCCGAAGTGCCTGCTAGTGTATTACTTCTTATGAACCAAATTCGTCCTCATCTCAGCACCCTAGCTAAAATTGCAATGTAGGGCCTCAATAATGGGAACAAGGTTTCGGGGCGTCCGTATTGTAGTTATTGTGTAATCTACCAACCAAGCCCTATTCCAATTATTACGGCCCCTACATTAGATTTTCCTCAGGACAAAACCCTAAGCCCAAACCCTAAACCCCCAAACCCTGCACACCTACTCCCGTCCAAGAGGCCGCTGCTCCAATAAGTGCTCCAGGCGTGCCTTAAGAAAGGTTGCAGGGTCGCCCGGTGAAGTCTTTCGGGTTTAGGGTTTAGGGTTCAGGATTTTTTTTGGGGGTGTAGGGTTTTGGGGTTGAGGGTTCGGGGTTTAGGGTTGAAGGCTTTGGGGCCCTCAAGATTTTCGAGCTTTTGGGTGCAGGATTAACCTTCAAGAACTTGAACCTAAGCCCATGCCTCCCACATTGCGCTGATGCCCCGAAGCTTCAACCTGCCTCTCCGAGTTCCGAACTTCTGATATTGCGCATTTCCGAAACAAGCCGTTTCAGAAGGCTCAGGGTTACTTTACGGCTTACGCTTTTGCGGTTCGACGTTTCGGATTTCAGCGAAGTTGATGTACGGCTCTTGGTGTTTGGCGTTCAACGTTCAGGATCTTGTGTTTTTGGGTTTTTGGCACTCTATCTTGGGGTTTGGCTTCCAAGGTTCGGGATCCTGTGTTTTTGCGTTTTTGGCACCTTAAACACCATGTAATGTAAACCGTTATGAAACCATTCTCGGACCCTCACCCTTACTTCACCCTTTCCAGAACCCGTATGGTCCCTCTGAGGGTAGATTTATCGGCTGTAAATTAAGAAAGCGCTGAAGCGCATAGAAGCTAGACCTTTTAATGTAGGAACCCTGACAAGTACCAATAACTATGTTGGTGGCTCCTCATTAAAACTGTCGTATATAATTGGCACCAAAACCCTATTCTAATTATGAATGCCCATATGTAGAACCCTCATGGTAGCCCTTGTAGCAACCCCCTTACAGAAACCCTATGAAACCTGATTCTAACCATTAAGGCCCTCATTTTACCAACGGCAGAACACGGCAACATCCACATGGGCACCCTTGTCCTTTTAGAAATAATAGACAGAGCCCTATACCTATATCCCTTAGTAGGAATTATTTAAGAAGGTCTACTAACCGGTCTGTTTGTTCTTTTGGGGGAACATGGGCCCCCTCGGCGCCTCGAGGCCGCTCAAGAGCTTCCGCAGGTCCAACTCCTCTGGCCTGAGGGATTTGGGGCTTTAGGGGTTTTCGGGTTTGGGGTTTTCGGGTTTGGGGTTCAGGGTTTAGGGTTTAGGGGTTTAGGGTTTAGGGTTTAGGGGTTTAGGGTTTAGGGTTTAGGGTTTAGGGTTTAGGGGTTTAGGGGTTTAGGGGTTTAGGGTGTAGGGATTCAAGGTTTTTTTCGGGTTTGGGGTTCCTTTAAAGGGTACTTTAAGGGTTCCTTTAACGGGATCTATGAGGCTTCTATAAAGGGTACCTACAGTCTCCATTGTAGTTCCTCGTTGGGGGGTTACCTTATAGGATCTTACACATAAAATGTGTTAAACCAAAACAAGGAACTACAATGGAGACTATAGGTAGGGCTTCAGGGTTTTAGGGTTTTGGGATTTTTAGGGCAGTTTCTGGGTTTAGGGTTAAGGGCTTTTAGGGTTTTAGGGGTTCTGGGGTTTCTAGGGTTTTAAGGGCTTCAGGGGTTCAGGGTTTAAGGGTTTTAGGGCTTTAGGGTTTTAGGGGTTTTGGGTTTTAGGGTTCAGGGTTTAGGTTTTGGGTTCAGCGTTAGGGCTGAATTTGGGGTCAAAAGGTGGCTTTCCATCGAGGGTTATACAAGCGGCTGTTCCCTGGCTTTATGTGGGCCTCATCTGACTCATCTGGCTTTATGTGGCAGCATGTACATGGGTTCTATATGGCTTTACATCTATGTTGCCAACGGTACAAGGGGTTTGAGATGGGTTTTAAGGTGGACGCATGGCTTTGGATGGATTTGTAAGACAGTTGTACACAGCATTCACGGAGGAGGTTAGCAGTGACTATGCGGTCTCTCTCTCTCCGTCCTTTACGCGCCGCACCCACTCCTGCTGGCTCACTGAATATTGCAGGATTTGGCTGACAGAGGCGCTCCGCCTTTGATCGGCTGTCTGCACCACAACGAAAGGGCAGTGTGATGTCAGCGCAAAGCATGCGAGCGGTCAGCACCCCAACCCGTATAGTAACCTTTGTACTAACCCCTTGGAACTCTAAAGAAGCCCTACAGAACCTTACATCACCCTCATGGACATTACAATCCGTACCCCTACACTCAGGAACCCTCAACAAAGAAAACTAGAGCCCGTCCTACTTGGAGGTCCATGGGTAGGCATAAGTGGGGTTATAAGTAGGGTAACTATCCTTAAAAACCCATATTAGGGGACTTCTAACCCCACTTATAGCTACCCATGAACCTCCAAGTAGGCCCTAAACCCTATACCCTTATAGAATCCCTATAGATTCCTTTAAAGGGGCCCTTAAACGAACCCTTATAACTACCCATGAACCTCCAAGTAGAGACCCCTTCCAAGTCAGAGTTTTGGACCCTGCACTTAGAGGATCATGGGACTTAGTAAGTAGGATATAACTGGGGTTATAAGTCCCCTAAGTGGGGTTATCCTAATTATAACCTACTTATAACCTTACTTACTAAGTCCCATCAGCCTTCAAGCAACCCAAGCCTCGCCAGGTCAGTGTTGACGAGGGGTCGCTCCATGGCCGGTGAAAGCGTAAGCGTTAAATATGGGGGTTTCCCAAAAATAGGGGTACCTTATTTTGCGGTCCTTATAATAAGGATCCTGCTATTTAGGGTACTAGACTAAGGGCCCCTATTTTTGGAAGCTCCCATATGGGGGGGGGGAGGTCGGAAAGAATGAGGGGATCCATCGTTCAAACGGCGCTCGTAGGGTAGATAGAGAGGCCGAAGATGTTCGACAGGCTCGCAGACAATTGGATTCCGAGTTGCTGATCAACCATGCTTGAATACTTGTCTTTTTTCCGTCGGGCTATTCGGGCTCTTCCTTCTTCTCCATCTAATCTTTTCTTATGCAGCCATTGACACTACATAGTATTCATAATAATAATAATGGTAATAGCAATACGATTAGTAATAACCATACAATACTAACCTTAGCAATAACAATATAACAGCAACAGTAATAACAAGATTCATAGTTCCCCCACCCCAGTCTTCGGGTCCTTCCAAATGGCATGCCACCATCCCAGCTGAGGCGGGAAAAACGGTGGCTGCAGGTGCCGCGGGCGATGGACTGAAGGCTTTCGAGTGCAGGATTTGTGGCTGGGCCTTTCTCATAAGGTTTAAGACTACAGGGCTGGGTTTTGGGAACCAGCATACTATCATGCACGTTCATCGCGAAGCAAGAATAGGAGCAAATTCCCGAGGCTCCTACGTTTTTTTGGGAGGATGGGGACTGTGGGATGCAGAACTTGAAGAACTTGGGGTGGCGGAGCCCTTCAGGCGTAAGGTCCAGGAAGTTGAGGGTTTGGGCTTACGGCCTGCGAGGGCGTTGAGGCGCTTGGATGAGTTTCGGTTTCGATGTAGGGTTTCATAAGGGTCAGGGCAACGGCTCCTGCACCAACCCCCCGCACAAACCCTTTGAGCCTGAAAAGCGACCCCGGATCGGAAAGCCTGCACCAGAAACGGCCCCTCAGACCTCAACTCGACCGAAAGAACTTGACGGCTTCACACTGAAACCCTTCTGCCGCGAGCCTCCCTACACCCTGAACCCTTGAACCCTGAAAGCTCCAAAGCCCCATGTCGCGCTATGATTCGACCTCTCTCTACATGCAACCCTTGATGCACTCGGGTGCCATGCATCGGCGAAGTTCTTCTTCAGCTCCGAGATCTTATTGTCTCGATTCTTCAACTCCTCGTGATACCCAGGGCAACCAAAGAACGTCTGGGAAGTTTGACGAGGGTGACATGACATCACCAAGCCTAACCAAAAAGGTCCATGCCCTGAAGCGAAGTGTCCGCAGGCTGGCTTGGGGCTTGTGTAGGGTCGCTCGGTTTAAGGACAAGGCTCCCAGCAAGCTCTACTGTAGGCCATCCCCCGCGCGCCTCGAGCGCGCTCATGTACTTCGTGTTCGCCATACAGCACCTCATGGCTCAAAGATTGCCGCACAGGCCTGCACCTCTGAGATAATCCCAAATGAGAGTCCTCATGCAAGGGATCCTTAATCCTACCTACCTGTAAGGGTTCAGGATTTAGGTTTAGGGTTATATTTTCGGACCCGACCCGCTTGACACTGCGGATGAGCAGCCCAAAACCCGAACAACCACAAACCCGTACATATGAAAGCCCCTTATCTTTTCAAACCGAAGCCCAAGCAGCTGAAGCTCAACCTTGCTCCACCCAACTCCCCTATCCCATACCATCAATCCTAAACCCCAAACCTTTAACCCCAATCCTAAACCCCAAACCCCAAAAGCTTACCTTAAGACACGCATTCTCGAATCAGGCACTCGAGGCCGTACTTTTCGCGCGTCTTGTCCAGGCCGTAGGCCTGCTTTCACAGGGGGCTTTCAAATTGGGGTCTTTGCAGAAGTGGCCTAGAGGAGTTCCAATTTGAGACAGGGGTTCTACAACTGTGTTGTTTCGGAGGGTGCGACAATTGAGAAATTTATGGGGGGCACTATTTGCTCTCCGCTTCCCTGTCCTGAGTTGCACTCATCTTTCCACAACGCTCTTGCAGTTCAGTCATTCAGGCAGCTGGCGGCGCCGTTGAGGTTCATGGATTCGGATTTATTATTGAGATAGACCCTCCCTGAACCATTGGGAAGGTCGGGCTTCTTGAGGGAGTGAAAAACTGAAATCCTAAACCCTGGGTTTACTCATGAGCTGGAGGCCTCCACGGAGATGCATTCGTGATACCTTGGGCAAAACCTCTCATGAGGGTTTTGGGTTTGGGGTCCTAGGGTTTAGGCTTTAGAGGTAAGTGCCGCCGACGTAAGTTAACGAACTAACTTGTGACTCAACATCTAACCCCGAAGCCCCAGACCTTAAGGCCCCGAAGCCCCAGACCTTAAGGCCATAAAACCATTTAGGGTTTAGGGTTTAGGGTATAAAGCATTCTTCTACAGTAAACCCACAGTCCGCCTTCTGGATGGCCTCCTGGACATCTAGCTTGACCTGACAGGCGATTTGGCTTTTTTAGGGTTTAGGGTTTAGGGGTTAGGGTTTAGGGGTTTAGGGTTTAGGGTTTAGGGTTTAGGGTTTAGGGTTTAGGGGTTTAGGGTTTAGGGCTTAGGAGTTTGGACTCAGGGTTTAGAGCTCAGGGCTTGGGATTCAGGATTGGGGTTTCGGGCTTCAGGCTTGGGGCCTAAGCAAGTAATTCAAACAGCTTCAGGACTTTGGATTCCGGAAAACTTGAAGTGAATGTGTTGGGGCAGAGAGAGGCGGACGTCGGATTGATGTCAGTTAAGATCAAAACAAGAAGCTTGCAACTAACATTCTATATCATGGTTTTACATTCAGATGTGCAACTTCGGACTCCAACCCAACTAGAGTTTAGGGCCCGTTTAGGGCTTGGGGTTCAGGGTTAAGAGGGTTCTGGGTTCAACTCATGTGACCCACTAGCGGGACGCACAAACACTAGACAAGACTTAGTGTTAAGGGTGCTGTGCTTGCAGAGATAGCCCGTGGGACGAAAACGAAGCGACCGCGCTCCCGCCTTCTTCACGTCCTTCTCCAGCTGCTCGGCGGTTTCCTGGGAGATGTGTTTTCGGAGAATAGGGGACCCCAATCTAGTGCCCTAAATAGTAGGATCCTTAATATAAGGACCCAAAAATAAGGGGATACCCTAAATAGTAGGATCCTCCCAAACTGAGGCTGAGGAGACTTAAGATCAGGATATACCGGAGCACCTCGACACCCCTCATGCTTCCAATGAGCCTTCCCCAAAAAACAACGGCTGTTCTGAGCCGTGCCACGTCGTGGGTCTTGACCAGCTTGGTCTGATTCTTGGTCCGGTCGTCGCAGCCTTGGCGGCAGACGGAAGAACCAACCTGTACTTAAAGGATCATGGGACTTAGTAATTACGGTTATAGTTAAGGTAGCTATACTTATAACCCCAATTACGGTACTTATAACCATACTTACGAAGTCCCATGATCCTCCAAGTATTCCGAGGCAGCAAACCACCCGAAGATCCCCCCTACGAGTACCTTACACCTCTTGACCCCTCTACCTAAATTGTCAAGCCTGTGTCGGGCCGGATCTCATGGCTTCATGAAAACACTCGTATGCTCGATGTTCGCTGCTCTTGAGAGATCCCCGGATAAGCACTAAAACAACCTCAAGTTGTGTTACCGACCGGGCCCTGACGATGTTCCTTCAACGTGATCCCTGATTTGTGGCCTCCGCAACCGGGAGCATAACGAAACCCTGGAATACGATGAACGGCCTAACACGGGCCAAGACAAAGCCCGGATCTGACTCCTGCAGCGAAAACCCCTCAAATCACGGCTCCGCTCTCTGTCCCGGACGGATCAGGGAGCGATTCAGAGACTCGCGGTCCCGGAGGAGGTCCATGATCGTCTGGGTTTAAGCTTCAGGGTTTTGAGGCCTTCAGGGCCAGAGACGGGGGTGCGGGAAAAGGTCAGAGGAGGGGTTGTAGATGTGATGATACGCATCTTGTCTTGTAATACTCATGCCTTAAAGACTGTGTTAGCAGTCATATCTTGTCGCTTGTAGTTGTGGCTACTGAATGTTGTTGCTTTTGTCGTCGTAGGTACTCCAGGAGCAGTTGCAGGAGTTGTAAGCGCGACGGAAGTACATGCTGCCAGTGTCTTCCGATTAGTTCGACAGAAGAACAAGGACCAGCAATAGACGCAGTAACAATCATGGTCACGGCAGCAAGAGCAGGAGGAATTCTAAAATGCATCGCAAAAGAAGACCTCGTGAGTCCTTATGCCCCATTGCTGCCTGACCAACACTTCCCCAAAGTACAGTCTCTCCTCGGGGCCTTAAAGGGTTAGGGTTTAGCGTTTACCATGAGAACGATGTAGCCTCTTAGAGATTCAGAAAGGCGCCCTAACTGATCCAGAAAAGCACCCAGTGGATAGTCCTCTATGAAGCATATGGTCTGGGAACGCCCTTTCAACAAAGCCGAAGATCCGAATCCGAACAAAAGAATCCTTTCAACCCTTTTCCCCCGGTCGAACCCTGATCGTCGCCCTTATAGTAGCCCTTTAAAGTAGTGCTCATTGGCTTATAGTTATCCTTAGTAATACCTCCAAGGAAAGTCTTATGGGAAAGCCTCTGGGAGTCCTTATCGTATCCCTTCTTATGGTAGCCCTTATAGTAGTTCTCGTAGGTTTATAGTTATGCTCAGTAGTACCTCCAGGTACCCCCAATTTTCGGAAACTCTAAACCCTGCCCTTTAAAGCAACCCTTATAGTACCCTTATCTGGACCTAAGAGTACCCTAGGAATAGTCAGGGTTGCCCTTGTTTGGTTTAAAGGGGGTTATACTAAGGTAACCTAAACCCTAGAAAAGGGAATAATGGCCTACTCTGGGTCCTATACTTATAGTAACCCTTTCAAGGGAAAGGGTGTTGGGAATCCTGCTTCTGCAGCTCCTGGAGCGAGCCTTGCTATCCGTCTCGGCCTGCTTCTTCAGCATGTCAATCTGGCACCACGAAAGTGGTTTAGGGTCTAAGGGTTCCTTTAAAGGGATCTACAAGGGTTCTATAAAGAGGTTTAGGGGCTTAGGGGTTTAGGGGGTTAGGGGTTGAGGGGTTTTGGAGGCCTTTCAGGGCTTTTGGGTCTATAAAAGGACATCATGGTCCTAAACTCGACAACCTCTACCCTGAACCTAAGCCCTCATACCCTGAACCCAAACCCCTACCCTAAACCCTACCCTACTACCCTACTACCCTGAACCCCAGAACCCGAAGCCCTCAGCCCCGTCTCCGCAAAAAGGGGATACTACTGCCCAATATGCCATAATAGAGTCTATATAGGTCTATAAGGGATACCATGGCCCTAGCCCCATCTCCACGGCCGCCTCCCGGATCAGGTTTTCTGCCTCGGTCCGGAGGACTGCCTGGCATCGATCACGGACGTCTTGGGATGAAGGGCCGGTGCTTGTTTGAGGGTGTAGGGCCTTTGGGGCCTTTGCGGCCTTTGGGTTTAGGGTGTTTAGGGATTTTGGGGTTTGGGGTTTAGGGTTTAGAGTTGAGGGTTTGGGGTTTAGGGTTTAGAGTTGAGGGTTTGGGGTTTGGAGTTGCGGGTTTGGGGTTTACGGTTTAGAGTTTAGGGTTTAGGCTTTAGGGCGTTTGGGGCTTAGCTGTTTTAGGATTTAAGCTTCAGGGCTTTAGGGGTGAGGGTTTCCGGCAAGATCTTCTTGAGTCCGCGCGATGCTGTACGAAGCATACAAACAGGAAAAGCTCCGTAAGATTGCCATTCCAATCCATCGCTGTGTGTTGTTTTGGTGTTGGATGAATGGCTGTCTCGATTTGCATGGCACTTGGAGGTTTGTGTCTTGCCTAGGCGTTTAGGGACTACAGTTGCAACACACAAATTGCTGCAACTCTAGTACGGACTACAATGGGCGGCCTTTCAACAGGGTTCCGTGACCAGGCCTCTACATGACTACATTACGCTGATAACTGAGAATTCTGCAAAAATCTTTGTAGATACCTGCACAGCCTTGTAGAACCTAATATAGGCCTATCCCGAAATCCCGGCAAGCCGAAATCAAAGCGCTACACCCAGGCCTGCCTTGGCTAGGTTCATCTCGTGACGGGCCTCATCATCCAGGGCCTGGTCGTGTCCGGTAGCAGCAGTGGCACAGTAGAAGTCGTCGTCGGAGCATTTCCTAAACTGAAGGCCTAGACCCATACCCTCAAAAAGGGAGCTTACAATCAAAGCCCTCTCTGAGGAGAGCATCCGAGATCCAACCGTGTGCGCCAGCGTGCCTTCCGACGCTTGAGGATCTCGAGCTTCTTCTTCGTCTTGTCCCGCTCCGCGGTCTCCACACGAATTTCCTGTTCAGGGCTTGGTTTTTTTTAATACCGGCTGTGCAAATATGATATAATAATATATGATAGTATAGTATATCATATTGTGGTTTTGTACGTGCTTCTGCGCTAAGGGTTAGGGCCGGTTTGGGCATGGGGCTAAGGGTTCATGTCTTAGGATTCGTGGAACTCTCCATGGGATTCGGCCCTCCAGACGCGTGCCCCTCTGGCCTCGTAGCAGGCTTTCAGATCCTTGTCCAGCTTGCCATTCGCCTCTTCGCGGTTTCGATTCGCTGCTTCAGGCTGGGAAGCTGCTGTTAGGACCCAGGTCCCATGTTCCGGTCGGGCTAAGGGGCTGTAGCAACCCAAAAGCCACAGCCCCTTCTCAACGCTACAACCCTAAGCCCTCGAACGACAAAGCCCTCAAGCCAAACCCGCGGCCATGGTGGGAGTTAGGATTAGGGGGACCTCTTGGGGATATAGACCCTCTCAATAAGGCCCTTTTTAAGAGAGCCAGAAGTAGGGTTCAGAAGGGGTACCCTTTACGGGGTCTCCCTCATAATACTACCTACATGGAGACTTCATGGGCCAGACGGAGGTTCGCTGCAACTTTTGCTGGGCTTTTGAGGCCTCAGGCCTGGAGCGTGGAAAACCCACCGCTCTCCAAAAACTGCTGATAGGGGAGCTTCCCAAAACTAGGGGCACCTTATTTTGGGGTCCCTATAAGGATCCTACTATTTAGGGTACTATACTAGGGTCCCCTATTTTCAGAAACTCCCATATAGTTTTTCTTGGCAGCTGTTGGGCTTCGTGCCTTCGCCAAACCACGGCTTGGGGTCCAGATTTACGTAGCTGCCCCTGCATTTACGGGTCTTTTACATGAAGGGTCCCTTTGATCTCCTTGCGTGTGAAGGATCCCCTTGAAAATGACCGGAGTCATCCAGGATCCCAAAAAAGGCCCCCTCCTCAGTTGCTTGAAGGATCCCTTTATGGATGCTACAGGGTTCCAATTGAAGGAACCCTTAACAGGACCCCTTACGGGAACCCTTAAAAGGAGCCCTTGAAAGCCCCCCCCCTCAGAATCGAAGCTCCTCGATGATGGTCTTCTTCAGGCCGCCATCCTCCTGAGCATGTCTGCGGCGCTGCAAGAACAGACATTCAAGGTAATAACAATAAGAATCACAACAATAACAGCAGTAATAAGAATAGCAGTGATACTCATACTACTCACAACCATAATATGAGTGGAAATAACAATGCCTAATATTGCTATAGCAACGATAATAATGATAATGATGATTGTCATCATTGTTCTTGCGATAATTGGTCATATTGTCGCTACTATTGCCACTGCTGCTATTAATCCCCTTTTCTATAACGCTTTACTTGGAGGTTAATTGGCAGCCTCCGACGGTTGCAAAAGATTCTAGGGTTTGAGACGTTCGGGAAATGTTGGAACCTGATTTAATCAATCCAACTGTTTTGGGGTTATAGGCCGGCCCAGGGTTTCTCAGTCAGGTGCCATTAAGAAGGATAACCCTGGCCATACCTATACTCCAGCTTTAAGAGGCTTCGGCCTAGGCCTTCGGGCGCAGAGAGGAGAGTTCCTGCGGGCTTCAAGGGTCGGCAGCTCATATCGCGCCAGAACGAAAGAGTTTAGGATTTAGGATCCAGATACCTTCGACCCTTCCTCTAACAGTAGCTCTTTAAGCGGTTTGGGGTATAGAAATGAACACTTTTAATCGATACCCCTGCATGACAACACACCTAGTCATACTAGCGCCAAGTATGCTATGTGCCCAAGGATTGGTTTGACAATCTGAGCTCGGAAAACAGAAGACGGAAACACGAAACAGCAGATCGCTTGAGACCTCAAAGCACCATCTTACTTGAAGGCTCATGGGACTTAGTAAGTAAGGTTATAAGTAGGTTAGACTTAGGATAACCCCACTTAGGGGACTTATGACCCCAATTATGACCTACTTACTAAGTCCCATGATCCTCTAAGTATCCAAAGTACAACCCACGCACCTGCTTCTTCCGCTTCAGCTCAGCGATGGAGCGCTGCCAGCCTGCCTGGCACAGCGAACAAGAAGTCGAAAGATACTCCCACCGGTTTAGGGTTGAGGGGTTTAGGGTTTAGTGTTAAGGGTTTAAGGTTTAGGTTTAGGGTTTAGGGGTTTAGGGTTCAAGGGACAAAATGGACGAAGGACGCAGCAAAACAATCAGAACAGTTAGAGCAGTACGCGTTCAGGATTCAAGCTTGGGCTCAGAGCACGGATCATCCGTGTTTTAGTCAAAAGCACTGATGAGAGCAACACTGACACTATCATTGTTCCGACGGCCTCGCCGCAGTAAGCCTCCCACGGGTAATGCTGCTGCTGCTGCTATTGCTACAACTAACCAGTGGTTTTGGGGGTTCCCTTGGCTCTTTAGCTCCTTATTGAATAGGGATTATGATCATCCCTGGCTCCTTAGCTCCCATAATATCAATGGTTAGACAACTTATGCTTGCCGTAGGGGCATTCCATTCAGGACTACAGCCGGGTTTTGAGGTGTAGGACCCGGGTCGGGGTGGGAGTTTCCTAAAATAGGGGACCCTAAATATAGTACCCCAAATAGTAGGATCCTTATTATAAGGACCCCCAATAAGATACCCCAATTTTGAGAACCTCCCGGGTTGCTAAGACGGGGAACAGGAAAAAACTAAACCGCGAACATCGCAGGGGGACCCGAAAGCTGAAGCCCCTGTGCCGAACCCCTGAATGCCGAGACTCGGTGCTCTAGCCCCACATCCTGGCCCGCAGATGAAATCAAACAGACGAAACAGAGGGCTTAAAGGGAACCCCAGAAAGTTGGAATATGGATTAATGGTAGGATCCCCTATAATCTACCTTAAAGGGGTTACGATAATGATATTCCAACTTTCTGGCTTCTACTGTGGGGGCTGAGCCCTAAGTTCAGGGTAAGGGGCCATGGAAGTTTCCACAGACAGCAAGAAGAGTCATGTGGATCTGAAACATACATATGCATTCTTCCATACAGAAGCCTTAGCGACCCCTTGCAGGAACCCTTATAGCTCCCTTCAAATTGCACCCAAAATACCAAGAGCCCTCGACAAAGCCACGGCGGCAGAGAACCTCATCCTGGCGCTGCTTTTCGATCTCGGCCCGCTGCTTCTCGAGCCTGGGCTCAATCCCAAGCTGAACGTGCTAGAAACAACAGTTTAGGGCTTTTATTGGTTTAGGGCTTAGGGTTTAGGGTCTAAGGTTTAGGGTTTGCCGGGAGTGAATAGCAGTAACTGTACCGTAAGAACAAGAGTATCAACATCAAGAGTCTTTCTACCTTAGCCTAACTTATCTGTGTAGTATTTTTTTCCGCGCCCGAAGACTTGGCAGGTGTCGCAAGAAGGTGTGGGAGTTCAGAGCTCAAAAACTCCAGGCTTCTAACTACAGTAGAGGCCCAAAAGTTGGAAAGCCAATAGCCTCAATCCTTAAGAGTAATGTATAGGGAATCCCAGCACTGTTTGTCCTTAAATCCGGTTTCCAACTTTCTGGGGTTTACTGTAAGGACTTCAGGATCCGAAGTATCAGGCAGAGAGGTAGCTTCGGAATGCCTTGTCAACAGGAAGAGGCTTGAGACATCGAAGCAAACAGGGCCCCATGCGTAATCTCCGTGATCGCCCTCTCCTCCTCCTGCGATTTGATCTCCGCCTGGCCCAGTGTAGATCGCAAACTTTCAAAAAAACACACCGAGCCTAAAGGAAACGGAGAATGCTGCAAATGGAAATGGAATCCTGAACCCCGACGCCAGAAATTCTACCAGCGTGGGGCCCTGGCATTCCCACCCCTACTCCAAGTCAAGAACAACTAAAGGTGCACTCCGCGGTTCCCAAGACCACACGATGAGTCCAAACTCTGCACCACATTGAAGGGTTTGGGGGTTCAGGGATAAGGATGGCACCCCAAAGAACGCAGGGCACTGTGGCAGCAAAAAATTGCTCAAACTAAAAATCTGAACTTCCTGAATCCCTGATAAAACCCATCGAAACTCCTACGAAGCCAATCGCTGTTCGCACGATGTAGCGGCCTTCACTTGCTTCAGGGCCATCTCCTTGGCCTCCATGTTTTGCTTGAGCCTGGGAAAGAGGGAATGGGCCATAATTGATAGAACCAATTCTTACGAGCGTTTATAAGGGTTCTGTAAGCTTGATTCAAGGGCTTTCATTGCCAGAACAAAATTTGGGGAGTCTTGCATCGTATAGAGATGTAGGGAACGGAAAACAAGTATTGTCGTTTCTACTTCGTCAGATTTTCGTCAGACCTCTTATGATGTGGTTGTGTGCTCAGGGTCCTCAATCCCCCAGTAATAGTATCCTATGTCTGCTTGGGGTTTTATTATTATACTTCACGTATCCATCAACATAGGGTACGCATTGGCCTGAAGACGACGGAAAGCTTTGGGAATTAGCTCGGCAAACTGAAGTTTCACAACAGTAAAAACGGCTTCTAATCGTGAACAATCGTCCAACATGATCATTGTTGACGTCGTCTTGAATTTTGACTGACGCCACGACGCCACTGGTACTGAACTGCTGTAGCAGCTCTGTAGCATATACCATCATCAGTACAACTATCAGCGCTGTTACCTACCACCATCACCACTATGACAAGAAGAAGGTCGGCGAGCAGCACAGCGTGTAAGACAACTTTGACTACAACCTTCCACAACAATCAGAAAAACAGCATGCAAACGAAAACAAACAAAGGAGCAGAAGCGGAAGATGATCGAAAGCAATGATAGCAAGAAGCTCCTGGCATGTACCCTACATCCCCAACTCTCAACGAAACCCAAATCCAGGAGATAGCTCTGAGGGAGGCTTGGTAAAATCATACCACGACAAAACCCAAATCCTACTCTAATGCTTACTGTAAGGCCCGTTGACGACAGCTCTTAAATAGTTGCCTCATACAGTCCAATGAAATACCATATGCTATCATATGATATGATATGACATAATATGATATTACATGATTTAATACTATACAGTCCAACATCATATGACATAGCATGGTACTTTATAACAACATACTACAACAACTAAATAATGTATTACAATGTGCGAAAGCTTGTTCTCGGCCCAGTGCTCCGCCAGCTCGCTTTCCAGGCGATCTCTACGCCTGGTCTCCCGCTCTTCCTCGGTCCTCGGAGCGCGTTTCTTGGGGCTTACAGAGTTTAGGGTTAGGGTGTAGGGATCGGGATTTAAAGTTTAGGATTTTGAGTTTAGGGCTTAGGGTTTACAGTCTAAGTTTAGAGTTAAAGGCTTCGGGTTTAAAGTTTAGGATTTAGGGTTTTTGTTTTTGAAAGGCTACTTGTTGAAGTTGCGGTGACCTTTGTCCGCCGGCGCCGGCTCTCAACTGGTAAACACACCCACTCCTCGACCCAAGGCTTTGCACCACGCTTCACAGGCGGCGACGATAGAGAGAGAGAGAGGCAGGGTTTAGGGTTTAGGGTTCAGCGGTTTCATGAGGGGGTTTGCAAGGATTTCAAAGAAGCTTCACAAGGGTTTGAAGCGGTTGTGGAGGCGTTCCAGCGAGGGCTTTGTGGTTCGGTGCTTGGTGCTTGCGTGACCTCGGTCTACATTTAAGGATTCTGAATGTAGGATCTGGGCAAGGCTTAGGGCTTACGTCTTGTTGTAAACTTACGGCTGCAAGTTGAGGGTTCTAAAGTTCGGGCTCTGGGTTTCGAGCTTTGGTAGGTAAGCTTCGGGATTGCAGTTTGAACTTAGGGCTCAGGGATTCTTTGCCGTCGTCTTAGAGCCTCTGATCTGAACCCCGCAAGTCCTCTTTGCGTTGAGCATGTCCTTCACGTCCGCAATCTCGACCTCTTGGCGGGGCTGCTTGGGCTCGAAGGTTTGTGGGTTTGGAGTCTTGGGTGGCTCCGTCTTTTTGCCCGAAGTGCTTGTAACATCTTTGGTCGAGGGCGCCTCGCTCTGAACCTTCTCAGACTCGTATCTCTGAGCGGTCTCCGTGAGGACCTGAGCGGAAGCAGGAAGCAAAGATGGAGGCCCCGCGTGCTCTGATCGAAACTGAGGTCCTTCCAAGTGGTTTGGGGAAGTTTGGGGACCCTGAACTCAAACCTCCAGGGTTTGCACATGATGAACTCACGCAGCAAACATCCTTCCCGGATTTGGTGGCCTTTGGGGATTGGGCACGCTCTGGGACAGGCTCGGGGCTTGAGTGGCAGGGGCCCTGGCGATATTGTCGTGCGTCAAGGTGGCCACCTGCTGCCGCAAGACTGCATACTGAATGCTCAAACACCCGACCGAAAGCTGCAGACGCGAGCAGCAAGAGTAGCAGTCGTCGTCGTCGGAAAATACTCGTAATAGTACTCGTCGTCGTCTTCCCGGTAGAAGTCCTACTAGCAGCAGCAGCAGCAGCAGCTGTGGCGATGTGAATCCGGGCCTGGGCTTCAAGCTTGTCGCGCGCTTTGATAAGCTCATCTCGCCTTGGTGGGCCGAGGACTAGGCTTTAAACGACTAAGCCTCAAGCCCAAAAGCGCCCCTACCATCTAGATGCTACATCCCACGTTTTTAGCCAGCACTCGTTGAGATTGGACACAATCCCCGATGAATAACCTCTGCACCTAAAACCGCAACATCCCAAGCCCCACAGAGCCCGAAGATTACAAACACTGTGGGGAGCCCGACTGTGCGATCAAGCTGTTCACCGTGTTTTCCTGCGGCGGGCAGGAAGTAGCTTGTCTTGTGGTTGGTCCCACGGCAGGTATTGGGAGCACTAACCTTCTGCTTTTTGCTCTTTTAAACGCTTCACCGTTGAAAGTCCTCCTTTGTGTATAGTTTGGGGGTCGCCGAACCCAGAAGATCTCCATGCGGTGCTTGCTTGCTGTGAACTCTACTTGAAGGCTCATGGGACTTAGTAAGTATGGTTATAAGTAGCTTATAATTAGGATAACCCCACTTAGGGGACTTATAACCCCAATTATAACCTACTTACTAAGTCCCATGATCCTCTAAGTACCCTTCAAGCATGAGGACCAGGGTTGAGGGTATTGAAAGACTTGGGTTGCCTCTTCCAATCAAATTGCACCTAAACCCTCTGCTTCTGACCACGAAGCCCACAAACTCGACCCAACCATCCCCACTTGACCCTCCAACCTCAGATCCAAAATCCAGAAATCAACCCTCAAACCCGTTTCAAGACCCTATAAACCAACCACCACCACCACCACCACCACCACCACCAGCACCCCAACACCCCCCAACCCTAAACCTTACAGAACATGTCTTATTGCAAGCGTCTAGAACTTTTGCAGAACTCTCAAAACTCCCCCGCGGAGGAATGGCCGGTCCTGGTTCACGCTGAGCCCAGCACCTATCAGGAAGCGAGGTTAGGAAGCATAAGGAGCCCCGATACCTAATGTCCCTCATGGTGAGGCTCGCCTGCTGACCCTGTTGAACCAGATACGTACCCGAGACTTGCCCAACACGCGGCGAGCAGATATTGTAACACCTACCCTGGAAGGAACCCATGGGGATGACAAACCCATGGGGATGACAAACCCCGCTTGCATGCTCGGCTTGGCTTCGGAGCAAACGAAAGATGCCGCGGCTGCTCGGACTCCGTACCACTCGCAGAATGAGGAGGACAGTAATACACAGAAGGTGAAGGGCCGAGGGGGAGAGGAGGTGAGAAGGGTCGACGAAGCCTTGAGAACCTCACCAAAAAAAGGGCCCGAAACTGCTCCAAAAAGCCGTGTAAGCTCCGTCACAACCCCAGACAGCGCCTTGCTCCACGAGATGGCTCAGGTTGGCGATCTCCACCTGTGGACTTTCGCTCCCAGATTCGACTTCGGAGCTTGATGCTGAAGCAGTCGGGCTGTGACTCGGGTTTAGGAGTTTAGGGTTTGGTGGGGTGGGGGGGGGTGACTCGAGCAGCACAAGCCCCGAGCTTCACTATCACATTCGTGATCAAGGCACAGAATATCACAGAAGTCTGTAGCGAAAACGATGGTGCTGATTCCGGCAGCGGCAGTGGTGAAGGCTCGTGGGATTCGGTTGCGGTGCGGGCCCATGGGGCTGGGGGTGTTGCGGTTGAGCGGCCATGGATGTGGCGGCTGCAAAAAAAACAGTGGCTGCTAATGGCAGTTGACTTCAGTGTTGTGTTGACTGCCCTTCGAAGTGAGTAGCCAAAAAAAGCCTACAACTCCCTCCTCGACTTGTCACCTCCGGAAACCCGAAGAGCCGTCACTTTCCCTAGTGCTAAGACCAAGACCACCGTGATTCCCCTGACAAACTCACTGCAAACACAAAAACCAAACGGATAGCAAACCGAAGGCACCTTCAGGTTGTGGATCGTCTCTTTCGCCCTCTGCTCTTTCTCGTGGCTGGCCTGACGGAAGAAGATGACAAGCAAACCACAAAGTACTCCCTCCTCCTCCTACTCCTACTCGTACTCCCACTGCCACCGCCACTGCCACTGCCACTACCTCCCACTCCCACTGCCACTGCCACTGCCACTACCACTACCCCTACTACTACCACTACCACTACCACTACGACTACTACTACTACTACTGCTACTACTACTACTACTACTACTACTACTACTGCTACTACTCCGACTCCTACTCCTACTCCTACTTCTATTACTACTATGACCACTACGACGACTACTACTAAGAAGTAGTAGCCGTAGCAATAGCAGCTGCAGCAGGAGCAGCAGTAGCAGGGTAGCAAGCGCAGTAGCAGTAGTCATCAGCGCCAGCACGCAACAGCAGCACGCAGCAGCAGCAGCACCTGGAGGAGGAGGTGGGGGAGGAGCAGCAGTGGTAGCTGCTGAAAAAAACGCAGAAAAGGCCTTTCAAACTGACGGGAGTCCCAATCACCAACACCCAAGTCTAAATCTGACCTGATCATTGAATACCCACACTCCAGACCCTGTTCCTATCTAAACCACCTTGCAGGTAGGTCCACAAACCCTGAGAAATGCCTCGCAGGCTTCAGACTTACTGAGCAGCAACTAGGAAGAAGTGACGTCAATGATGTTAAGACTAACCACAGTTGTAATCCAAAAAGTATCAGCAGCAACAACAATAATCATGCAAGAACCATTACTGATAATCACCAAAAATGAGGACAGTAACCGAATGAGCCCTAGCAAGGCAACATATCAGAATGACCCCTAACTAATAACTGTGGCAACCTTAAGGACTGCAAAGTAGATGCTTTAAGAGTAGGGCTTTGGGGTACATTATACTATAATTGCAATGAGGAAACTCCAAAATAGTATCGGTAATCATTGAGGCCCCATATTAAATCCTAATAATAGCCCTTATAGAAAGCCCTTTGAACGGAGCCCTTAAAGTAGCATAAAGTACTAAGGGGTAGATATACTATTTCAATCAGCCGGGCCCCTTTAGGAGCCAGGCCTCAGGCTCTTTACATTGTATTTTTCACTAATGAATGGTCGTCAAAATTATGGTCCCTTTTTGGGTCCCTATCATAATACGACACCTATTATTTAGGGTACCGAAAAAGGGACCCCTAACTTTGACAACTACCCATATAGCATTATACACATTATTATGTATTGCTAATTATTAAGGCCCCTTTTATGAGCCAGGCCTCGACCATCTTCCAGGCTCTTTCAATCTCCTTCTTGAGATTGGAGATCGTCGCCTCGCTTTGAGGACTGGACGTTAACTTACCTTTGGCTTGTAGGGAATGGAGGAATGGGGTACAACTATAACTACTATTGCTACCATTCTTCTTCCCTACTAACCAAAGGTAAGTTAAGGGTCTCGAGTGTTTAGGATGTAGGGTTGAAGTGTAGGGTCTAGGCCTAGGTTATCGCTATATAAGTTGTTGAGTAGGGTTTCAAAGGGTTGGTTTCATGCCGGGGCTTGATCTCATACTGGGGCTATCTGGGGCTTGCTGGCTTTGTCTGCACCGGGGATTTCGGATCTTTTGAAGGCTTCGGGATGCTTCGGGCTTGACGGCTTCGGGCAGACGGATTCACAGCATCTCACTGCGCGGTTCCGCGTCTGAGAGATCTGACGGCTGAGAAGCCAGGCTCCTGATAATTCCATTTTGGAGGCTCCTTCTTATGATTATGGTATAACCTACCCTCAACAGCCTATTCTCACTATCAAGACCCTTATACTCTACAGCCTTGTGGTACTGGTATAATCTACCGCAAAAGCCTATTCTAATTATCAAGACCCTTACATTATACAGCCCATCTCTATCCCGAAAGGCGGCAAACGCAAGCCAGGGTTGTCAAAATTAGGGTCCCTTTTGGGGTACCCAAAATTGCCGCATTGCAATAGGAACCAAAAAAGGGACCCTAGGACCGGCCTGGTCCTCCTTGGACAGGTTCAAGGCTGTCTGGACCTCGAGGATACCATGGAGTTTTCCGGAAATACGGTTGATGTGTTCCTTTAGGTACCTTTAAGGGATCTATAGGGGTTTTAGGGTTTAGGGTTTAGGGATATAAATCCTGCATTACCCATAAGAAGGAATATGCCATAATTCCCATAGTTTAGGGTCCTTAAGGTAATGCAGGATTTATACCATTAACAGTAGGGGACTCTAATATAGTACCCTGAATAGCAGGATCCCTTTTAAAAGGACCCCAAGATGAGGTGCCCCTAATTTCCTGAAACTCCAACATGATATCATCATGACGTAGGAACGGGGGAGATTGGTTCCTGGCTTCCATAACTAATAATGTTCCCGATTCCTCATAAGGAGCCCTATCTCGCCCCCAATCCTCATCAGGAGCCCTATCTACACTCACCAAAACCCGAACACAAGCCCTGCTTCATATGCTTCGGAAGCTTGGGGGTATTTGCTGGCCACGCTGGCATTGATGGCGAGAAAGCCCGAAACCTTAAACCTTCACCCTAACCCCAAGCACTCCGGAGCCTTCGTGGCATTGGACACGATCTCTTGGTTCAGCTCGCGACCTGCAGATTCGGGGACTTCTGCACTGGGGTCCAGTAGGGTTCAGGACTTCGGGTTCAGGGTTTGGGTTTAGGGTTTAGGGTTTAGGGGTTCGAGGGTTTGAGGGCTTAGGGTGCTGGGGATCTAGCAGGGTGTTTCGATGGGTTGTGGAGTTTGGCGTCGCGCTTCGGGCTTTGGGATGCTCATGACTTTCCGTCTGGTGGCCTTTTTCGGACGGTTTAACATTTTTCAAGGTTTTCGGATTCGGCGTTTGAGGGTTTGGGGTTTCAGATGTAGGATGTCACGGTGTTGGGTTTAGCCGTTCCGATCCGCCTTCGAGCTTCTTGGCTGGTACGGTGGCCTCGTCGGGTCTTGGACAAAAGATGCTGAGGTCCACAAGGGAGTTTCCGAAAATAGGGGACCCCAATATAGAACCCTAAGTAATAGGCTCCTTATTATGAGGGCCCCCAAAATAAGGTAAGGTACCCCCCAATTTTCGGAAACTCCCACATCGATGCCAAAGACCCCCCAGGTCTCCAGAAGCATTTACTGTCAAGCCTACCTGGAGGATCATGGGACTTAGTAAGTATGGTTATAAGTACCTTAATTGGGGTTATAAGTGTAGTTACCTTAATAAATAATAACCGTAATTACTAAGTCCCATGATCCTTCAAGTAGATTCCTACGCCTAAACCATCCTAAAGTCCTAAACCCCAAGGCACGCGTAAACTCCAAACAGTTAATCTGACACCTATTCCGGATCAGACCCAAACGAAACTCCATCGTCAAAACGTACCAATGTAGTTCCAGACATAATGGGTGCCGGGCACTTCTTGATCAAGCGCTTCTCACTCTCGTGGGACCTGGTGCTGAAGTACAGCCCCATGCACTTTGTGCACCCTTAGGAGAGTAGGTCGTCATTGTCTTGCATAACTGCTCTTTCTGTCCATGGTTGTGCATGGCGGATGGCAGATCAGGTGGTGTGATTGGTTCTCCGACGATTCCAGGCTAGCGTCGGGCCTGCATCCATGTCAGCTTTAGACAAGCTGCAAGATGTTATCTATTTGGAGAAGGCGATTTCCGTTGCTTCCCGCAAAACAGTCTTCTGCGATGCAAGCAACAGGAGGACAACACGAAAGTCAGCAAAACGGTGTAAGCCAAATCGCCACAGCGTCGTCGACGTCAACATGATCCTCGCCACCATCATCTGCATCGTCCTCATCGTCATGAGTGCCCTGCTATGTGTATTGTCATTCCATATGCGCTGGCATCATCGCATCCGTGATTCCAGCTGCAGCTTCAAATTATCATCTTCAGCCCCGTTATCATACTTGTCATCAATACCTTTGTCAGTCACAGTACCATTCATCATAGCTACTTCCTCCGTATCATCGTTGGCTTAGTCATCTAGCTCGCCATCGCAACAGTCACTGCGGCGAACCCGGTACAACACATCAGGTCAAGTCGCAGCTCATACTTCCTCTCACAGCTGGAGCTTCCTTCATATAAGTATAGTGACCGTGAGCCTTTGAAGAGGGTTCAGGGTGGTACGACACTGTATACCGGGTTTAGGATCCAACTAGGCCTCTGCGTGAGCCAGGCCTTGTTCCGAAAGCCTCCTAGAACTTTCTCTGTGCAAAGGCGCTTAAGACTGCCAGTTCTCGCCCCGGACTGATGGCTAGTCTGCTTTTCCTTAGCTAACGATTGAGACCCCGCAGGTAAGGACCGGGGCCGCGGCTTCTTTAGGGCGCGATGGAGCTTCTCATACTCGAGGCGGAAGTGCTCGAGCGACTTATCGCCAATGAGCTCCTGAAATTGGCACCGGTCTTCTCAGCAAGAGCTAGGAAAACGATTGACAAAAAGAACAATGCAACAGAAAAGATTCTCACCTATTACAATACAGTATTACGGTACAGCATAATACAGATGGAAGTCACAATGAAAACTTCGACCGCAAAAGCGAAACAAGGTGACTCGTGTAACCAGCATCAAGCAATCACGGCGCGGCCCCCAAACTAAATCTTTACCCTGCCCACCAAAGGCATCCAAAGACTGAATGGTAGATGTCGCACGCACGCACGCATGTACGCACCGCCCACTCCTCTAGAAGGACCTGTTTGTCCTAGCACCTGTCTGCCCAGCCTTCTTCACGGTTTCTGTAGAATGGTGGAGTCTTTTCCAATGTCAACGACACATGTATGTACATATATGTAAGTGTCTACATACCGATACGCCTTTTCATGCGTCCGTTGTGCTCATAGTCATGTGCTTCAGAAGTCATCCCAAATTATGATTCCCACCTGTTGCCTCACGAACCAGTTATATACATATATATATATATGTATATGTACATGTATAATATGCATTGATATAAAAATCTATATATATATATATATATATATATGTATTATGTGTGAAAACAAACAATACATACTACGTACACACGTCGCTGCACATCTCCGTGCAGTTGAACATCTATCCGGAAGCATGTTCGGGAAACGTCCAGGTCGCTCGTAGGTCAACCATGTGACCATGCACGCGCACCCTCAAGCCCAAAGAGATGGACAAGCATCAGCTGCATGCATTAAACTTTGAACCCAAAATGGCGTTGACATTGTGTTCGATTCTGGGACCTGTTAAGGGTTTCATTTTAAGTTACCATACCCAAGAAACCCTATTATTTACTCTAGATCCTCATTATGGTTACTTAAACTAAATCCCTTAACATTAACCCATGATGGGTCCTGCAAAACCTCCTGGAAGTCCTTCTCGAGAGCTTCGAAGGCGCTGGACCTCGGTGCACTCGGGGCTCAGGGAAGGTAGCTCGGGAGGGCTTTGCAAGGGCTTAATTAACTAAGGTTTCACAGGGCTGAACCATGGTTTTCGAAAGGCTTTACAAACGCTTCACAAGGGTTTAAGAGTCGTTTTGTAAGGGTGTTTATGAGGTCTTGGGCTGAGGTTGACCAATTTAGCAGAGTTTTGCAGGCATTCTATGAATGACCCACGCAGGCTCCATAAGGGTTCGACAGGGGCTCTATAAGGGCTTTAGACTGCTCATCGGTTTTGGCCTTCACGACCGACGCTCAGCACAATTGCTTCGGGCTGGCAGTTTAGGCGAAAACACGCTTGCATAGTCAAGGATTCAAGCAAGCTTCTATGGCGCAAGCTTCACGTGCGATTCAGTGAGGCAGGTTTGGAATCCTGTGAATGGAACACCACACCACATATTAGACGTCAGGGTGAAGGAACCCTCAAAAGCTTCAAAACGATAAGCACCTGAACTCTGAGACGCAAGAGACAGTCGGCATCCCACACCAGACCACCTGCACCAGCTCCCATGAGCTCCAAGTGCTTCAACTCGAGGGCCCTCCGTCTCCTTCGGGATCTGAGAGCTGCAGGCTCCGAATCCCAAGCGACATGAGATCCTGAGAGGCCAAGACCCCGAAGATCAGGTCTAAGCCACGGGCTCCATGTCATTCCGCGCACTTTCGTCCACAGGATTCTCCTTGAAGGAGCCTCCGACGGTCAAGGTCTGGAGGCTTCGGGGCTTCACTCGCAAACCAATCCTAAACTTGCCCAAAGTTCGAAAATGCCCGTCAACCCTCAGGGCCTAAACTGCGAAAACCCAGCAATCGCTGAAGTGTCGAAAAGGAACAAGCGGTGGGGGGGGCTCGGGGGGGCGGTGTCCTGCAGCAGAAGGCTGGCTGGCCATGGCTGCGACCTTCCAGAGGCACCCAGAATTAGAGCTTCCCTTAACCCGGAAGAACCCACATTTTTAAGGACTTATATAAGGAAATCATAGTAAGGAACCCTAAAACGGTAGGTTTTTCAGGGTTAAGGTCCTTCCTGGGGTTCGACGTTAAGGATTTAGAGTTTGTGGGTCTAAAGGTTTCAGGGCTTGGGGTTTAGAGATTCCTTCCGGGGATTCTGATGGGTTCCCAAGAAGGACGTGAAAAAGCTGGCAGACGTTCTTTGCAACGCTGTATGGGGTGTAGAAAAGCCATACCAAGGTACCGCTGTGCTTTTATGTAACTCATGTAAGTGACTTAGGACTTCGGGGTGGGGGTTTGTCTTCTCCGACAACTGCTTCGGAATGACCAAGATTGATCGAAGTGAGCCCCGAACATTCATGACAATCGCATAAGCCCCTCCCTATCGATCAGACAACAGTAGACAACCATCATGAACCTTGCTTGTGGTTACCGCGTAACGGGGGCTTTGTTGATTTTCAAGCTGAACAAACTCAAAGATGAAGAAACTCCTGAGAGGATGGCGATATGGTGATAGTTGGACGGGCTTTGGTGCGGAAAGAAGGGTTTTTAGGGTTCCAGGTGCCGGATTCAGGGTTGAGGACTGGGCTTTTGGTGGCTTGTTCGCCTCTCGCGTAGCGTCCGGGGAGCCTCGCAGCACGCACCTGGGGCAGAACGGCGGTGAACGGCCACGTCACTGCTATCATGTCCGCAGAACCGCACCCTACAACACACTAAAAGAACACTCAAGCGGCTCTGAGGCTCACGCAGCTAGGTTACCTTCATTTTTTGAAGGTCTTCTGCGGCCGCACTGCCGCAGTCTACCGCTACAAGTTTGAACTGAAACGTGCCCAATAAGAATGCTGCTGTCGGTGTTGTTGAAATTTGAAAGCGCACACTCAGAAATCACTACAACCCCGATTCCCCTTTCGACAAGAGCAGCATTCCCAATCTGGACGTTCCAACTGACACATCCCCGCCCCACATGCGCGAGACTCTGCTTCAAACACCCAAACACCGATGCGAGATTCAACACACACACACAGACATATCATCCGAACTGATTTGTGAACTTTGTTTTCGTCAAGTTCCACATCCTTGCCGGCAGCAGTCTGCCCCTTGCGTGGAAACGTTCTCGCCCGCAGACTCTGTGCGCTATGTCGAGATCGACACCGTCAAAGTCCAGGATGATTTTTTTGGCGCACAAACATGTTGGAGCCATGCGGCAGTCGGCCTTCAGTCTCCTTCAACAACGAATTTTGTCAGATTAAGAACTCGCATGCGAAAACACCGGCAAAGAAGTGAAACACGACTCGGAATCCCGTTTACAATCTTTTACGCCAGTCGCGCCACAACTCAGAAACTTTGGACCCAATGAAGTGCAGAAGAACCTAGTCGTCCCGCATTGCGTTTCTGTGCAACCCGGTGCGGTTTTTTCAGGTTTGGATCTGACCAAAAAACAGCCTAGGGTGGAGCTCCACATCCTTGCTGGCGGCTCTGCCTTGAGAAAGGTGCAGCATCCAACTCGCAAATTCTAGCTAAACCACCGAACACAAAAAAAACACAGAAAGCGGTGAAACAAGGCATACAGGGCTACAGAAAAGAACTGGGGCTGGCTTGCTTTGCCAACGGTAGCCGTTCAGTCTCTATCTGACTTCCTGCGGTCCCGCTCAAGAGCCGTTCAGGAGCAACAGAGGTCGGCACCCAAAGCTGCCCGGGCAGACGGAGGAGCCAAGTCCAGCTCCTGCAGCCATTCTAGTCCCGTCGGACAATGGACTGCCCCCCTCATGACCGTTCCGTTCCGGCTGTGCACACCAAAGTCCATAAGTCCACGGCATGTCTCCAGGCAAGATGTCCGGAGATGTTGACAAATGGGTGAGCAGGAACTGCGGGTGCAAGTGTTGGAGCACGGCTATTGCCAGCTCTCGAGCTGTTGGTCTGGGCGGCCACAGAGCCGCGACGTGGCCAACTCTCCAACAAAGCGCGAAGCTGCCATCCGGATCATCAAGTTGCTCATCTGCAAAAAGGCAAAGACGCCGGAAATCTCCCTTACGACATAAATCATCTAGCTTGCCACGAAGGAACCACTCACACCGTGGCAAGGGAGGATAGAACCCCACCAAAAGGTCGCAAGCCGGGAAGTGGAATTCCAAACCCCCGGTGGAAGCCACCAGCTCTTGCAACTCATGCTCTTCCATCAGAATTTTTGGCAGGCCAGCCGCCCAATCGACACCAGTTCGCGTATAATGCCTCACGGCAAAGTCCTTAACGGAACCTTAACGGAACCTCTGAGCCAACAAAGGTCTTTTGGCTGGGAAGCTAGCTCTCAAAACAGCTTGCGGAAACCTGCCACGGGAGTCAGCATTGGGCACAATAGACGAAAGGCAATTGGGAAAGGATTGTCCAGGAGGCAGAAAAAGGAATGCGAGCTGCATCTCGAGAATTTCTGAAAAAGATGTCAATGGATCGGTTTGCTGAGCATAAGTTTTTGCACGGTGTTCGAAGCCTGGGTTCGAACACCTGGGAGGGGCGGTGAACCCAGTGTTCAAACACCGGTATTCGAACTCCGAGTTCGAACATTGGGTGCGAACACCAATGTTCGACTCACAGTTCGAACACTGGTGTTTGAACCCAGGGTTCAAACACCGGTGTTCGAAGCCTGCTAATACTGCTGATACACTACTTACTACTAGGACCACTAATGAATGCTTCTGATGCTACTGAACATATTTAAACTAATCGTACTACTAATACTACTAATACTACTAATACTACTGATACTGCTCATAACTACTCAAAACTACCAATACTACTAATACTACACTTACTACCACTACTACTCTACTACTGCTACTACTGCTACTACGGCTGCTACTATTACTACTACTACCACTTCTACTGCGACTACTACGACTACGACTATGACTTCGACAACTACTCCCACTACCAACGGCAAACAACATGAATCTTTAATCTGCCCAATCTCACATGCAGCTGTAGTCGCGGTGACAGCCATCCGAATGACAGCCTCCATTCTTCTGTGCTAAGACAAGCTTGGCACAGCGGTTTTTCAGTGTGGGTCCGAACCTCGAGCAAAGAAAAGAAGAATCGATGAAGCAAAACGCAATTTTTGCGAATAAAACGAAATCAAAGAAGAAGAATGTCTGAGACATTTTAAAGGCTGGCACATTTTCTTTACTTTGACGAAGAATCTTACCTTTTGGTCCCAGTAAACATCAAACCAACAAAACTACACAAAAAACGGCAGTCCACTAGCAAAGCAAACGAGGTTACGTGCATGCTGCAGCGTGCAGACTTGGTCAGCAGGAGCTGTTCAGCAGGCAAAAAATTGGGTCTCGCACAGCGACTTCAAAAACCTGAAGCAACAGCGAACCGTTATCCAAGTCGCCCAAGACAATAAGTGGAGCCCAACACAAGGTTTGGCCTCTGTTTCAGTCTCGAAACTTTTGTGACTGCAGTTGTAAAGTGGTTGCATGAACGGAGAATCATGGCGCAGAAACCCATGTGGAGGGCAGAGTGTTTATGATTTCTTCATGCAGATCATCTGAGCCGTTCTTTGGCACGAAGGAAAATGAGTAAGTGAGTGAGTGAGTGAGTGACCTTTGCATGGCGGTAGAGCCAACGACGCATGTTGACGGTCGTTCACTGTGTCCGTTTTCGGAAGCTTCAGCTCTGGATGTCTAAGAATCCAACAAGCGCTCGACTGTTGTTCGCCCAAGGAGCTGGTTCTTCTCATCTTTCAGAAGGTCGAGTTGCTGCAAGAAGCACTAAGCGCTCACTCTGGACTTAAGATTCATGTTTGAAAACTTAAAAGTGAGTGAGCGTGAACTTTTCGAACTTCTTGAATATCTAAGATATCCTCTCTTTCTACAATGAGTCCCAAAAGAGGCTTTAAGAGGGACTTTGAAGAAGGTTTCAAGAGGCTTTGAGGCGAGGATGGGCCTCATCTCCTTTGACAAAGGGGGCTTAAGTCCCCCTTGAAGCTCCTCTTTAAGCCCTTTAGAGGCCCGCTTTAAAGCTTTCTAAGGGCGGGGTGAGCCCTTAGGATTACTCCTGTGGGAGTGTGTGACCCGGTTGAGTTCCATGGGATCCAAGGCAACACAGACAGCAATTGTTTTGTTCTGCTACGAGCTTGTTGTCAAGTCGGTGGTACCACTTGACCAAGCGAGCAGCGGACATGTGCACATGCAAGCATACAGCCAAGCCATTGCTGAAGTACAAGCCCAGAGGTTTAAACAAACAAACAGACACTAATTTTCTTTCACTGAAAAAGCATGGCCGCGTGTTCACACATATACACTTGAAAGTGCTCACTGAACTCAAGACTGGTGGGTATCCCTTCAAAGCCCAGATTTCAGAGTTTTTCTCTGGATAAAATCTAGGTGCTTCAAACTTGGATTCCACATCTGGAGAAAGCATCTGGGTTTCACATCTGGGTTCGTTCCAATTGGGGAGTTTCCAACCTGGGTTCAAAAACCTGGACCAGGTTGTAAACCCAGATTCCCAGAGTTCTTGTTGTTGTTCCGTTCAAATTGCATTTGGCCGCAAAACAAAAGTGTTTTGTTTTCCAACGCGTCTTCACCACTGTGAGACCTGGAAAGTGTGCGCCAAAGGTTTGCTAAAAAATCTCGTTACAGTTGATCTGGACGACAAGCACGACCACAAAGCTCAAGTCTTAGTCGGCGGCATCTCCGTCATGGAGAGATCCTGTACATGAACAGGTCTGTGACTGCTACTTGCTTCGAAAAGATGCAACGGCTCACTGGACTCTTGTTAGAGTGTTGGCTTTTCTTGCTGCTGCTTGAGAGTTATTCACCTCTGTGCTCGATCCAGAGTTGGATCATAAGATCTGCTGAGAGTGTTCGGATGTGGCTCATCCGGGTCTAAATGGTCTTTCTCACTACTGGAGTGAATACCAAGTAATCGATTGATTCTCAGCTCT